ATTATAAATGCACATTTCGGCCAGCGCGCAAATGTCTCTTGGTCTCGAGTCGATGAGAACGTCTCGGCGAGTCTTTGAACGTTATAAGCGGGCCGCTTCAGGAGTGTCGTGGGGATACACAAGTTTAGAGCTCCTTTTATCCTCGCCGTGGCATACTGTTGATATACTCTTAGGTCCAGCACCAAACAATCCGCCGAGCGGTTTTGGAGGATCTCGGCTATTTGGGACGGGGAAACGATGGGAGGAGCGTCTTTTTCTCCCGCCGACGGTAGCGTGTCGGAGCGGTGAGCAGCATGGGTGGCCGCCTTGAGAGGAGGTGTACGGATCCTATTATCTGGTAAGGACAGTCGCGCGTGTTGGTGGTCGGCGACGGTATGGTGGGAACTGAGGGGACCTGGTGATTGTTGTCGTGGAATGTCAAAGAAGGAGACATCTTCCATCTGACTGCCCTGCTGCTGCACGGCTGATCCTCCATTGGATGACTTGGAGTTTCTGTCTATCGACGGCCGTGTTGTGTGCGGGGAGGAGGGGGTGTCAACACGGGAAGCAGTACTCGTCGAGTTGTTCCTAGACTGAGAAGGTCTGAATGCCGTGTTCAAAGCAAACCTGTGGTTATGTTCCGACTGTCTTCTAAAGGCTTCAAATTCTGGATTGGATTCAAGCGGGATATGACGGGGAGTCGGGGCGTTGTTCGGAACAGCCGAGTTGGGGTAGGTCCAGTTTTGGCGAGCATGTGCGCCCGGGTTCGAGTCAGGCGGTATTGTATCATCGCTGCCCACAACGAATCCAAAGTAACTGGGACTCGGGCTCTTGACATCTTTGGGTGGTTGCGCGGATCGAGCGGTGTTTGGGGAGAGGAGAGGTGGCATGGATTGACCGACCGAGGCGGCTGCAGGTTGGGTACGTGGAGTGGTCGAGGGGCGGGAGGAGCGAGAGTGCGAGTGCGAGTGCGAGTGCGACTTGGAATGTGAATGCGATTGTGAGTGAGAGTGAGAATGGGAAGAAGATTTGAGAGAGGCCGTCGCGGTGGCGGACATGGTGACGTTGGCCAATTGGCCTGAGGTACCGGGTGAAGTCGAAGGGATGTGGTGGATGGTCATCAAGTTTGGTGGCCACCAAGGGTCGTGGTATTAAGTCAATGGAAGAAGCCCTCCAGAAGATGAGGAGGGGTAGGCAAGGTTGAAAAGGACCCCCGAAGAGCTGGAAAGGTTTCGAAGGGACAAGAGAAAGGTGTTGAGGCGCTGCGTCCTGAGGGTGTGGATTTTAGTGGGTAGAGGATGGTCAGGCGCAGGCAGGAAGTGTACGGGAGTAGCTGTGGTGGATGTGTAAGTGTGTACAAGTACAAGCAGATCTGCCCCCAAAGATCTACGTCATTGTGATCTGGACTGTGCACGCGACAAGGCGGACAGTAAGGTGGAATTTTGGAAACATTGTGTTGTTAGTAGGCAAACAAAGAGATATATTGTTGTTTTTCTCAGCTGAGTGAGTTGAGGAAATGAATCACTAATTCAACGGCAACTTTTTTTTAGGGTTGGTTGAGTGGTGAGATATGAAGGGGTGAGAGAATCGGCCGGTTAAAGGGGGGGGTGGAAGAAAATGGGTAGTAGTGTTCGCCTATGAAGATATCGTCAGGGGGAGCAGCAGTACTTCTACCAAAACGCTCGCCTAAGGGGGGGAACACAAGCAATAGCGGCAGTGAGTCTAGGCATTAAAGGGAGCCCCAAGTGTCGTTTTGTCGGATGGAAATTGGCGCAGGGAAACAATGACGTCGGTGGGAGGAGTAACGACAACGGGTGGTTATGGGTGGTGGCCCTTTTGCCTTGAGGGGGGAATCCCCCGATGGGCTGAGACCCTGAGACCCTGCAGCCAAGATTCCAAGCCCATGAACTTGGGTGTACCGAGTAGTGGTACAAGCAGTGGTCTATGCTTTTCGCCCAGCCCAGGCCTCAGCATCAGGTTAACTCGTAATGTGGACATTTCTTAATTCCGAGGCACCAAGACCAAAAGCTCTGTGAAATAGCCATGGGCACTTTATCGATACATGGTCGATACAGGGTCACCGTGTGTTTCCGAGAGCTACCTAGTAACCTTAGTCAAAAATAAGGGTCTTCTGGAGGGTAAAAAGGGAAAATACAAGGGTTGACGCAAGATGAACCCTGACTGACTCGCAACGTCCTACAACGGGCCGCCCGTCACAAAGGATTAATGATGATGGAGGGCAAACGGTCTGGAACCCTCCAGCACGACATTGTTGTCACTTGGAAAGGGGGGTTGCTTACTTGTCCATGCTCCAAAGTGGGAGAAAGGTGTACAGTAGTCCAAGGGCACTCGAGCATTATTGGACCAGATGATTTGGATCAACCTCCGAAGATGGAGTATGTGGACAAGTCAATGTGCGATGAAAGGGAAGGGGACCCTTGTTGGGGAGAGAGAAGAGCGATGGAGGAAGTGGCACGTTGATTGGAAATCAAATCACCAAGACCGCCGCATCTTTGCACTTCCGTGCCTATCATGGCTCAATACCTCCAAGTAACTACATGTTAATTATTAAGTTGAATAACAATAATAATATCAAGTGGTTTGTCCTGTCAAACTCGGCTTGCTTTGATCGTGAAGAATCTCTTTCTTTCATTACTCACAGGGCTGACTGACTGACCATCCCATCCGGCCGCCACACGTCATTCCTTCAGACTTCAGCCAAGCCACCACGAGGGAGCAACACTTTGTACCGAGTAGATTTTTATCTTCCTCAGCGACTCTTTTCTTACATACGAGTACAAGTATCCGTACCCGTTGGATTCGGGTGGCATGATCCACAAGTTGACTGACTTACTCTTCTGTTCTCAACCATGACTCGTCAGGAAAGAAACACCCTCTGCATGACTCTTACTTCCCGCGTGCTTGGAGACAATATCCAGGTCCCTGGGTCGCATGCACCGCCCAGAAAATCCCCTAGTGATTCAAGCCGGTGAAATCTAAAGCGTAAACTATAATGAAAAGGCTGCCCTGTATCTGGTCTTCTTATGTCCCCCGCCCGGCGAATCGGCCGATGCCCGGTCGAACAAAAATGAAAGGGTCTCTCTGCCTTATGACACCAACAGGTGCACATGTTGCGCCTTTGGACAAAGTTCTAACAAGTACAGACATTACCTTACATTCTTTCTACAAGTCCGGAATAGCCAGTCTATACTCGGGTCAGGGTCCAGACCCTGTCAAAAGTGGCCTTCCCCAATCCTCAATCTAGACCGAGCGTGGCCGAGCAACCCCGGACGTCCAGAAGGAGGAATATCCAGCTCGACACAGTTTGGTCGTTATATAACAGGATCGGCCACTGCCGAAGATGACGCTGTTTTGTCCTCGTGGCCCCAAAGCAATACCTGCAACCAAAAAGTAATGTGTACAGATGCCGTCATTTCTCATTCCTCTCCACAATCTGGTCTCACCTGCAGGCAGCCCGTGCGCCTGAGGTGGCCAGAAGCTTCTCGCCCATCTCGGCCTGCATCTAAGCGAGCCTGCTTCAGGTGACTCGGGGTGTCATGGTATTGGTTCGGACCAACTCCAACTGCCTCTTTCCCTTTTGAGAATGCACTGGGAACCAAGCTCCTTCGCTGACGGTGGGTTGTGTGCATACTTGGTACAGTACTGGTACTGGTACATATTGCATTCTCGTTCTCGAACACGTTTCGTGTCACCGGAGCTCCATGGGGAAATTCGTACTTTGCAGCCTAAGCCCACGGGGATGCTCTTCCGTTCAATGCACTGCCGTCTCTTTGCGATGCGACCATGCACTGCCTGAACCTTCGCTCACCGCCAGTTCGGTCGCTTCGCCCCCGGTTCAAGTATCCATCGCGTATCGTGACCATTGCGATACATCACTCGGACAAGATGCGAGTTCTAGCTGTTTACTGCGAGCATGTGCTGCTTCGCTGGCGGGGTCTTGAAGCATGGTTCCAGAACTTTGGAATTTTGCATCGCGCATGTTCGCAGAGAAGAGATAAAAATAATTGCGTGAAAATGGCCAAAGAATGGAGTGACAAGACGAGGTGCACCATGTGCCTCCCTTCGCTGCGACTATGTCCCTATCGCAATCTCCCATCCGGTTCGTCCTTCCACCGCTCCACCCGTTTCTGCTCCCAATTATCCAGGTCTTTGGCCATGAGCCTGTAGTATTCATCCCGCTCGTTCAGCTCGCCCTTGAGAAGCTTCCGTCGTCGCGGATTGTACGTGAGGCCGCCCTCGCCAGCAGGGCCCCCTTTCAAGCCCAGTTCCATCCTCTCGTGGTCTGAGACCTGTCTGTTCTTGCGGTCGTGCTTCTCGTACCGCAAGGCGGTCGCTGGGGTGAGGAGGAATGAGGCCGCGACCACGATGGAGATGAAAGGCAGACCAAAGTACAGGAACGGATTTCGTTCCTGCTTGCGATTGTACCACGCTGCAATCCGCGAGGGGAGGTCCCGAGCTGCCGCACTGCTGCCGCTGGCACGGAAGGGCTTCGATTGGAAAACAGGCATGCTGGCTGGCGAGAGGGACAAGACACCGCAGAAGATAGACGTGATGGTGAATTATAACGCCTGTGGTTCAATCCTGGCTCCTCCGATGCAGAGCTTTTATGACTGGTTGTCTGGCAAAAAACAACGACCAACGAGGGAGAGAATGGCTATGACGGTGCTGGGTGCCAGCCATCCATGATAGTTGGATGCCTTGATGAGTGGAAGATAAAATTACAAGTCGCACGTTCCAAGCTTCCATCACGAGACTCACTGGCTGCGCATCCAGAAACATGACCTCAACGCCAAGGATTATCTAGACTCCTCGCCGCCCTACGTCACCAATCAACGACCCAACATTTTGTAGCCTTGTTCTTGCCTACCACGAGCTAAACGAGGCTGCCAGGTGCCAAAGTGATATGATTTCTCAATGTTGACTATTTCTGTGACGGCTTTTTTTGCGAAGAGGAAAGTATAATATATGGATTGGGCTGAAGGGCTCATCATCTTACAGAGTTACGCGATGCACCACTCTTGCTCCTCCCTCCTGCCCAACTTGGAGTCAATGGCAAGATCCCACTGGGCGTGCTCAGCATCTTGACTCAACTTCTCCTTGGTCAGTTCGAAGTCCGGCGGCCGATAGCTGCTCGTGGTTCGGACGACGAGAACAAGACACAAGTACGTTCCTTGGACCACATTACCCTCGTCACTGCAAGCCGTCAGCAGCGCTCCCCTGACCGGGGCAGCAGCGTCCGAGAAATGGTCCTCGAGCACGAGAGACAACCGCGAAGACGGTCCAGGCTTCACGACATCCCATGACTGTTCGGGCAGAACTACAGATCCTTCAAAGTATGCTTCGAAATGGGGTCGGGAATACTCTGTCATACACCAATAAGTCGCATGGCCGTTTTCCGCTGTAAAACAAAACTCTGGGGACAAAGCATTGGCGAGTGACTGAAATGTGAACCCAGGGAACTCGACAACGAGGCCGCCTTTACTGATGCGGACCGGTCTTCGAACACGTTGCGTGGGAAAAGGCTCATCCAGGTCCGAATCGCGGTCGAGCTCATGGCTTTCTGGGTCGAAGCTGTCGACGTTGACTATTCTTGCGAGCTCTGTTCCCGCGACAAAGTTCAGAAACGACTGTGGTGCCCAGTGATATCCCTTTCGGTTCATCCTGGGTAAGGTCGTGAAAATGATCCGTGCCGAAAGAACGTCCTCCACAACCGACAAGAAGGCAGTCCACCTGTTTTCACAGGTATCCTCTTTGAGCACGTCTTCCACTCCCACATCCAGCAACGTCGCAAAGCATATTGCTTCATCGGAGGCTTTGCTGGTGTCCCTACCCTGTATTTGCGTCAGTACATGCAGAAATAACTCTGCTTTGCTGTGATGCAAAATGGATCTGGGTCCAATGTTGGAGGGGAGGACGTTCATGGAAAGAATGGTCGACGGGCACGCCGCAAATTTGGCCGCAAAGTCCCATGGTTCCGATGGGGTATGGTTCTCGCCATCCAATGCCGCGGGAACGCGGTCGAACACGTCAGTCGAGTCGGCGTCGAGGAGTTCGTCTGATAGCAGAACAAGCGACCGCATCGGTTCGTTCAAGTCATCAAGCAGAACAACCTCATTGTGGGACGTCTGTACAAAGACCTGGTCATTCAACGCTCCTTCTTGCAGAGTCCACAATCTTCCACACCAAGGGGACACGCAGACCCGTGCCATTAGCTCTTCGACAGGACAATAGCGGCTCTGTGCATTCAACTCGGCATCCTTGACCAAGACGGCCGAGGCTGCTGCGAAAACATTGCGCATATCCAGGATTGCCTTTTCTCTCATTTCCGTGTTGTTGACGGGCACACAGAGAGTGTCGATCCAGAAATAAAGCCGCTCCAGGCGTGCAGTCTTGCGGATCCGCGAGCCGGTCGGGAAGACACTGCCAAAGTACTCTGGATTTGTGAATATCATATATTGCAGTTGCGCTCTGAGAGCTCGTAACTGACAATAGGGCAAGGTATTGGCGCTGGGATTTCCCAACCCATCGGACCATCTGTGGCAACGTCAGCCTCTCTGCATGTTCTTAGTTCTACAAATGTCAACAGACTTACACGTGGGAGATGGCAACATATGGGGTGGCCCCCGTGTACGCAACGACGTCGAGGTCCAAAGAATCGTCCCATTTTCCATTCCGCGCGGTGGTTGGACAGCGGACCGAGATAATGGGGATGCTTCCCTGCTCTATTATGGCGACGAGTTTCTCGCTCGACGGGCCCACGTGCCCGCCGCATCTGCAGCTCATGCGCTTCGTGATGGTTTTCGGGACGCGAAAGTGCATAAAGGACGGCTCTACAGGACAATGCGCCGTGACATATTGGTCTTCCAGGACATTATTCGCGATACACCGTCGGTTCGAACAATGGGAGTGATCCTTCTGGACGGTTGGCGGACCCAACATCTTGATGTAATACATGGTCAAGACATTCCTATGGCGCCTCCAGAGATTGGAGACTTGCCCTACGCACCAGCCTTCGCTCACCATCAGCGACGAGAGCCAAGGGCAGGTAGGGACTGTCAGGCTACTCGGAGGGTCATAGATGACCGTGTGGAAGTACTGGATCGTGGCCAGCAAGACGACAATGGAGAGCTCGACTTCTCCAGGCAGACAGTTCCGCAGGTAAGTGGCTTGAGCGTCATTGCCAGCGGTTCTTAGTCTCAGGTTAAAAGCCTCGAGCAGGCCCGAGACGAGTGTGAAATTGTACCTGATGTCACGCTCGTGGTCTGCCTTTGCAGAGGGCGAGGCATACTTTTCCTGGTCATACCATTGCTGCAACTTTGCACCCAAAGTTGTCGTCGTGACGAAGGCTCTGTTGTTCTTGTTCTTCTTCTTCCTCCTCTGCGGCGGTGGTCAAAGATGTCAGGAACCGTGCATGCAGTCATCACCACTTGACAAGTTGGACTTACGAAGCTCGATGGGTATCGAATGAGATCATGGCCGTTGAAGGTGACGCGGCATATGGCGAATATGGAAGTGATCAGTCCCAGGTAGAGCCACTCTTGGAGGAAGGCGGCTGTGTGGGCAGCATCAGCGACCTTGTCGTTGCTTTCGCCTTTGCCCTCAACATGGCAATCGAAATGGGCATCCCGCAAACTCGGCATGCTCCAGCCATGGCGCAATGGGAAATCGAGAAAGGCCTTGCAATCGGTCTCATCATGGAAACTCGGGGTTCCACCCAACCACGGCACGGGTATGGGTCGATAGGGATGCTCGGGCGAAGGTATGTGATCCATTCATTATTTCAGTTCTTTTCTTGTTTTGGTAGTTGTTGGTTAGGTGCTGAGAGTAAGTAGGCACACAAGGGCTTTTTTTTTTCATGGCGTATCCTGTCCACATGCACAGTAATACTTGTACATGTACGTGGACAAGTAGGAGGTAAGAGCGAGAAGCTTTAGGCCATGATCTGATCGAATGAGGTGTTAAGCACAGAGAGCACGGTCAGACCACCTACCGCCTTCCGACTTACAAGTACCACCACTATCACCACTACCGCCATCCCCTCTTCTGAGGTTGTCCTTCTCCGCATCCGCACACTGGGCAGAAGTCGCTTTGTCCTTGTCCATGTCCTTGTCCTTCTTGGCAATTTGAGGCGCAGGAGTCTTTTCCTCGGAAGACCAGTGTTCCGCCGCTGGTACCAGCTGGCACCAACTGGTATCGACTGGCTGGGCTATCAATAATGCGATGCCATTATTCGCTGCAGCTGCCCAACCCAACCTAACCCAAGTGGGAGTGGAGGGAAAGTGCGAAGTATTTTCTATTTCGAGTTATCCGAACTTTACTGTATCCCGCAGCAATGAAGGATGAGACAATTAATACTAAAGTACGAAGTACTTTGTACAAGAAGGGGGCATCCAAAAAGGGAAAGGAGAACACCAAAAAAAGGCTAAAATACCTGGATGGAAAGTCCCATATCACAATGGATTGGAAAAGAGAAGGAAGGAGAAAGTAAAACAGAGGGGGAGGAAGAGGGACCCCGATCGACTATCAACTGCCGACTCAGCTGACCGGATCTGGACCAAGCAACTCAATCGCTTTCTCACTCACTCATTTAGAATATTACTATTACTTGTGCTTGTACAAGTAGGCAATATGCTGTGTACAAGTACTTGACAGGTATGTGGCATGGGCTTGAATCCGAGTGGATCCGTTGACGTTGTTGTATTGACATCCACCTTTTCTTGTCGCCGGATTCATCGAGTCATGAACTCATAAAACCCCCCGACTCGTTGAACCGCGTTGAACTTCGATTTGAACTCACCCGCCTCCCCTTCACCTCTCGCACCACGCACTTGATGATGATGATGGCATGACGAACGAACATGAGGCACAACAGAGCAGATCCGATCAGCAGCGAGACACGTCCGAACTATTGCGAACTTTGTGCGGAGCTAGCCTGAAGCTACTAGTGCCCATTTGGACTCTCGAGATGCCCAATGCGGAAGAGCGGAGCAGCGGAGCAGCGAACAAAGAACAGGTGAGTTTGCTAGAAGGAAGAAAATCTCAGCTCCCGTGCTTCCCGAGCAAGAAAGAAACTTCGATTTCTCCACATTGCATGATCCTCCCGTGCCCTCTTTGGCCCCTCCCTCCCTTCCCCTCCACCCATCTCTCTTGTATCTTCCTTTTTGGGCTACTTACCTCCCCTCCTCTAAAGTCTGTACTTGTACTACTGATGGCTCTCATGCTTCCCCAGTAGTTTACAAGCACATCCCTAACCTTGTTCGCCCAGCTTGCTACTCGGCGGAAAAGTCCAGCCGAACAGAAATAGCCCAGAAAAGCAGAGGCTATAGCCATGTAGGTTAACGCGGTTGGCTCCTCTGCCCTTCCATCCTCCCCTCCCTCCCCTCCCTCCCGTTGATGGGACTTCACTGGTCTTTGCTGGGCTACAACCTTCTCGACCCCCCATGTGCCCTAAAGAGTGGCCCCGAGGAATCATGTTCCCCCAGCTGGCCTGGTGCTGGCTCAACCTAATCTCGAATCTATCACTTCTCGACAACTTGACAAGCCACCCCTCCTCCCCCGGGGTGGTCCTAGATCAGGGTCCAGACGCTTGGTCGACCTGAGATCATGGTCCATGACACAACTGGGAGGGGGGGAAGTCTTGGGCGCCCAAAAATCCTCTTTATCAAGAGCGTCGGGCTCGCCGCTCAGGAATAAGAATCCGGTACCTTTTTCCCACCCCAAGTTGTCCCTGCATTGAAAATCATCAACCGGCTGTAGACTAGTTCTACTCAAACACCACACCACTCCAGAGTCCAGCAGACAACAAACACCAAAACACAGCCCAATCACCCAGGCAATGGCTTACTATCCAGACCCCCTGTTCCTGGAACCGGGGTCACAGCAATTCCAGGATGAGACATACTTCACCAACTTTCAATCAGACAGCGAGGAACATGATCTTGTCGCAAAGAACCTCCAAGCATGGCCGATGCCTATGGAGACTCAGCCCATGCAGCCCAAAGCATACGCCATGCAGTCGTATTCAAATGTGCCATATCTCAGCCCGTGCCTCGAGCCATTTGACCCGGCCGCCGTGCACACCGTCGGCCCCGCCCAGCTGCAATTAAACAGTGGCAATGACTTTTCCATGGATTACCAGCAGACTTGTCAGTTACCCGAAGAAGAGTTTGCCGCCTCGAGTGTCAAGGAAGAGTGCAGCAGCGACGTGTCGCCCTTGTCGTCACCCAGCCTGGTAGACTCCAAGACATGCAGCGCCAAAAAGCCTCCTATGCGCGGTCGCGCCGCGCCAGCGCCTTCAGCGTCTCCCTCGCCGAAGAAAGGGAGACCTCGGAAGAAGCGTAACCCGTCCAGCTCGTCCAGTGAGGATGAGTCGGCCATTCTCAAGGCCAAGTTTGCCCATTCCGTCATCGAGCGGCGCTACCGTGACAATCTCAATGGCAAGATGATGCAGCTCCACCGCGTGCTCCTGGCCGCTGAGACTAGTCCAACGTCTCCCGCCGCGCACTTTAACGCCTCCCTCACCGCTGCCACGCCCTCGGGCAGGGTCCGCAAGTCCGACATCATGTCGCGGGCGATCAACTACATCCACCAGTCCGAGGTCGAGATCCGACATTTGGATGACGAGATCAAGCGCCTGCAGGACCAGGTCGGCATTTTTCAGAAGCTCGTCAATTGCGACGACATGTCGCGGCTCAAGGACCTGGTGCAACTCGGCGGCCAACAGCCATGACCAGTCACAGTCAGTGCTTTGCTCTTTTCTCGTCTCGTCCTGTTCCACATCTCTGTCTCTCTGTCTCGCAAAGTTCATTCCCCGTCTTGTATGGCTGGCTTTTGTGGAGAGAGACGTCGAGTCTACTCCGTCTCTTGTATGTATGAAAGGTGGACGGCCTTTTGAAGGTTGGCGTTTGGTTATCGTCAATATCTCTCGGATCTATCGAAAATGGATGGGTGGGCTGGGGGTGGTGTGTTTGCCGTGGGCGAAGAAATCAAGTTCACCTTTGTTTGATCTGATCTGAACCTGACCCAGGTTCAGGCGTGTCCTTTCTCCGGTGTTTTGGTCTGTGTTGTTTGTTGTTTGACACCCGGTGTACTTGGTTTTGGAGGCTATCAGGGAAGGTATGGCAAGGGGTAAAAAAATGGAAAATCGTCTGGGTCCGGATCAGGCTGGGTTGGGAACTGGTTTCTCACCCGCCATGTTCGCCGGCTGGGTTGCTAAGGGGGACAGGGAGGCGCACGGTCACGGTCATGGTCAGGTCATTATGTGTATATGCCTATTAGGGTACACCCACACACGCACGCACACAGGAGATCATGATGGATCACGAGTGATCATGCATCATAATGACAGGGTAATAATGATTGACGATGGCCTGGAGCCTCGAGCCTGGAGCCAGGAGCCAGGGAGCGCCTCTTTTAGGAGAGCCAAGTTTGTGAGAACAGTGTGACAACCCAAAAAATCAATGTAACATGTATATGAACATGAACAAAGGTCCAAGAAGGGATCCAAGTTGATGTGTCGATGCTCAATACTCAGTACTCAACACTCAATATCCAACAACTGATCCAACAACACCAAATCCCGCATCATTTCGACGCTGACTATATTACTTTGTTGCGCTGTAGTGCACAAATCCCATGTACGTCACATAAAAATAAATATACGTAACGCACATAATATGCATACATACATACATACATACATACATACATACATGACTTGTGCATGATTCCAACAAGTGGTGGTCAGCGAAAATCACGCGTCATTCACACCGAGTCCCCTGGTTCCATGTGCTTTATCCTTTGTGCTTGTTCTCTCCTTGTCCTCGTATATTATATATTATGTATTACATACTTGTGTATTTGTGTATTTGAATACTTGGATACTTGGATAGTACTTGCAGGTACACACATACTACGAGTAGGTAGGAAGGTAGGAAGAAGGTAGGTAGGTGCTACGTATACCTAGGGTAGAATAGTTGCCGCCTCCAAAGCTCAAGTTGACTACACTGGCCACACACACACGCGCGCTCTCTCCTCTTCTCCTATTCTCCGTAAAGTCCTAGTGTCTGTCTGAAAGTCACTCCAGCGCCTGGTTGCATGACGCCTGGGCTTGTCGCCCCTGTCCGTCAGCGACGAAGAGCTCTCAGCTCCTTGTATTCATGCGTAGCCAAGCTTAGCTAGCTAGCTAGCTACATATCTCCGGGCCCGATACGTTCGTAAAACAGCTTGGGTATCTCTGATATCATATGCCATGTGCCATGGCTGCTAATCGCAGCACCGGATCATATACGACAGACACCTCCCAGGTGTCCTGTTTGCCTTGGACTGTTTTGTAGTCCTAGCGACGTGAGTCCCTGTCCGGCATCGACCCTTGTCCGCCAAGTCTCTGAGATTGGGAAAACGCCCAGATCAGCGCAAGGGGTGAGGGTTGTCTCCAATAATGAGACGCCTTTCTCTCCTCTCAGCGAGAAGAAGTCGGATTGGTCACTCTCCCTAAATTCTGCGGGAAACTGGTTCACGGACAATCACGACGCCACGAGGGCAACACCATGGATTATTGCCGGTGAGGGCGTGCCAGGCCGGGCCAGTGGTGGGAAACACCGTGCCCACCCGTCAAAATCAGGTGGTGGCGATTGCGGCT